GTATAAGTACAAAACAAACAGTTACATAAGTAGGTAACCTACGTCACTGTTATAAGAATCTTATACGAAGCTAAGCTTGTTTCGGGTGACTCATGAGCAATGGCAGGCCAAAAAAAAAAAAGTGTCTAGTGATTAAATCTGTATTAAAGAGTCATAGCAACGTAACCATTGTTCTATGATAAAAGAAGCTTGGTATGTTAAACTGTAAAAATACAAGTAACAATCCGTCGTGTTTCATTCGACTGTCTGGATCCAGTTGACGGTTTATGGTCTCGCATGGCCTGGTGGTTAGGGCGCAATCTACAGGTGGCACGTTCGAATCCCGTCATCAGGCATGTTCGCCATTTCAGCAGTGGAGGTGTTATGATGTGACGGTCAATCCCACTTTTCGTTGGCGAAGAGTAGCGTAAGAGTTTACGGGGTGGATGGTGTTGGCTAGCTGCCTCTCCTCACTTCTAATTAGGGCCAGCTAGCTTCGCGCGAAATTCAAGAAAACAAAGAAATAAACTTTAAACCTATATTAATAGATTGGATATTTTCGGATACAATTGGACCACGTGCTTACTTCGCACAGCTATGAACAAACATCTTTGAAAAGATCACGAGGTTTTTATCTTTTGTATTGTTTTAAACTCTTTGTTATCAAATACCTATATTCATTTTGTCAATAATAGATCAGTGTTATGAGGTCAGAAAAACAACAACTATGAAATCTGAGTTTTGTTTCAACATCCACTTGAAAAGAAATCATTTTCTAGCCTAATGTTTTAAAGGATCCAAACTGTGCGTGTAAAGTGTTATTTTAAACTGTGCGTGTAAAGTATTATTTCAAACTGCACGTGTAAAGTATTATTTTAAACTGCACGTGTAAAGTATTATTTCAAACTGTACGTGTAAAGTATTCTTTCAAATTGCACGTGTAAACTATTATTTTAAATTGTGCGTGTAAAGTATTATTTCAAACTGCACGTGTAAAGTATTATTTCAAACTGCACGTAAAAAGTATTATTTCAAACTGTACGTATAAAGTATTATTTTAAACTGTGCGTGTAAAGTATTATTTCAAACTGCACGTGTAAAGTATTATTTCACACTGTGCGTGTAAAGTATTATTTCAAAACTGTGCGTGTAAAAGTATTATTTCAAAACTGCACGTGTAAAAGTATTATTTCAA